TACCCTGACAGAGGTCTAGAATGTTCCACACACTAATAGATATTATGATGCAATAATACTTGATTAAAACAATGAGAAATACTCAGAAGGTTCTAGTAACATGATGCAATAATATAACAATCACCATTTCAAAACTGTTAAACTACAAATTGTATGATTCATAAACAGTTACATAAACAAGTTTGTGATAAACTGTCGCTTCTATAAATATCTAAATTTAACACTCGTGCTATATAACTATCTAAATCATAACTCTTGCTTTATTTAAACTTAAACTGAAATAATCGTGTCTATCTAACAGTGTAATAAACACAAGAAATTAAAATCTTGTATAAGTGGCAGGTAGAACTAGTACATTTAAACAGTTTCTTCAATTTATAAAATTGTAAATGTTTATGACATTATGCTTTATTGAAAGATATCACTTCATGTATGTTGGTGATATATATGTGTGTATAGACAAAAACATAAAATCACAAAATATGCTGAAAACTAATATCTTGTTTAAATATTCATCATAAACAAGATCTAACTATTTAAGAAGAACATGATACTTTCATTTCAGCATAAAAGCATGTCTTACCTTAGATGAGATTTCAAGTACTCAAATCTGTGGACAACATGCTTTTTCTAACAGCTAAATTGAGTTCTTGTTCACTTGGAAGTCCTGGATATATTTGAAACTTAACTGCATGTGAAAACAAATAAATACCATGTTAAATGTAAAAAATCTAAACCCATTCACATTAAGTAAAGGAGCTCAAGCATGGAGGGCACTTGACAGGACATATCCACTGTACATTCTCACAGCAGGGGTGGGAATACATAAAAAAGCTTGAACTTTGGACTTGAATATTTCTTACTTTTGGACAGATATAATGAGAATAACATGACTTCGACTAATGTTTTATTTGTTGTAAAGTCTCTTTCTTTGTAAATTATGGGGTCTGTTTGCTTTGATGAACTTTTACATTATATTCCATGTAGCCAGGGATCTGATGGGTGTTATACAAACTTTAGTACTGTTACTTTGATATACATTCACTATTAGTTGTAATAAAGTTGCACTTTGTATTGTGAAGCCACATACCAGAGCATTTGCTAAAATAATGTTGTTTGAAAGATCAATTAAAAATTATATTCAAGTAGTGTATGCTTGAGAGCATATCTCTCATTCGTGTACTTTGTTACTGTCATTTCGACAGTTAATTTCAAGTTCATCCATGCTAGTCAGTGAAAGGAAAGATGCCCTGAATGGGTGTGAGATGTGATTACAGCAAATGAACACTATTCAAGCTGTTGATATCATGGTTTTATTGGTACAATGGGCAAAATCAAGCATAAACTTGAAACGAGTGTAAAATGTTTTACATATATAGATGTGAAATCCTATTTAAGGATAAAAAATACATACTTGCCTATTGTTTGGGTTTGGTTAGAAATATTATTTTAGGTCTTGTATATTACTTAAGACATAAAGGGAATACATGATTTTATAAAATTAAAATTGACAAAATTACACTTTATGAAACAATAAAATGTTTTTGGAGATCTTTAGAGTAATGTACAAAAACATAAAAGTAAAACGTTCAGATCTTGAACAAATGTAAATATTTTGATTATTTCTTCTAAAAAACGCTTCCTAATTTAATATCCCAAGATTTCAAAGCTGATAATGCATATTAACTAAATAAATCAAAATTAAATATTTTATTTTTCTGAAACTACATGACTTTAAGAAACATACTGTATTTGCTCGAATATAACGTGCACCCAATTTGGAAAGGTTAAACTGAAAAATATTTGTTTTTTTTTACACATCAGTTGTACAAAATTATTGAATAATTTCTAAGTACAGTAAACAACTATAGATGTATTAAACATTATTGGAAATCCTTCATTGAAATTTTTTTACGTGTCAGTTGTACAAAATTTATTCAAAAGTTTATATGTGATAACACACTGAGCTAATCATTCATCTTCATATAAATCTTTATCATTGCCAGAATAGTTGCTACCATTGCATTTATTGGTTATGCAACATTTTTTGAAACGTTTAATGATTTTAGATGGTAGCTTCTAGTAAAATACCTAACAAAATTAAATGTGCACAAATATAATGTGCAGTCAATTTTTCAGGAGGAATTTGGAGGAAAAAAAGTCCTCATTATATTTGGGCAAATATGGTAATTGGGATTCATTTTGTCATAATATGTCAGTAAAACTACTGAGGCTTTTGATTTACAGCAAAAAAGATCCTGAAATTAGGAGAAAAGAACTTTTACAGAGTATCTCGGGACCACTGTTAAATTTGATCAAAACTCACCCATTGGAGCTCATGAAGAACAATGCTGTTTGTCTTCTAGTGTTTTCAGTTTTTCAGACTGCTGTTGGTGAGAATAATATATATATATATATTTTTTATCTTCATCTAATAGATCAGAATATAAACTTCTGTGTTAAAGATAATATAAAATTATGAAAATGTGTTCTTTCACTTGTTTCTTTTAACACTATCACAACAGGCTCCTATATTTTACGTGGCCATGTAACCATGGTGGTATACATACTGTGACTGAAAGTACTTAATGTACCTTTACATAATTTGGCAAGCTTTCAATAAACATTAAAAGTATTTTTACTAAAACTTTGTATGTAATTGTATAGTGTCAGTGTTGGCGAGTTCACATAAACATGTTTAATTCTATGTTAAGAGATAGAAATTAATACAACTTGGCAATAATTCATAATGTTATATTAAAGCCAGTCCCTTTTGACTTTGAATTTTTAAATAGTATTCCAGTTATGAATAATATAGCTATTTTTGATAGTCAGTTAAAGTGTGAATTTCCATTTTTTTTTCTTCTCTAATAGTTACTTACATTTTAAAATAAAACTGGGAGGTTTGCTCTTCTCAGTATCTCAGTTTTATGAAAGTCGTTCAAAATATCTGATAAGAATTTGTATGTACAGTTTCATTGTTCATGGCTATCCCTGTGGCCTTTGACTACACATTTTAAATGCTTCTTTCTTTTACAATTCTGTTGAAGTTTGATTTGGAAATGCATATAATGCTAAAAATGTATTCATTGTAGGTGTGTAAATTACAGGATTCTATGACACAAGATTCTCTTCAATAATTATAAAAAATGTGCAAGACAAAAAAATGTTAGGGTTTGAAAGAAAAGGATAAATTACCAGTTGCACACTGCAGACAGAAAAGAAAATTAAACACTTTGTCACAGGATATAACTCAAGAACACAGTGACTCATTGCAGCTAAAGTAGGACCTTCCCTTGGAATTGTAAACAAAATAACTCAGACAAGTTAGGTCTATAAAAGTTACACAAATCTTGTTCACAAGCTTCTCCAAAATATGCCTCTCAGTTGCACAATGGTATGTCTGCGGACTTATACCACTTGAAACTGGGTTTCGATATCCGTGGTTGTGTAGCTTTGTGTTTAATTCCAAACGAACAAACAAAATCTCCAAAATATATAACCAACTGAAAGATCTACCATCAAAAGCTGTTTTCAGTATCTAATTTGTGACACATGAAGGTATGTTATCATCTTGCTGGTGATATGTTTAAAAAAATGAGATGGAACAGAAAGATTCTTGGTGATTGCAGGTTACAGCTTTGATGATAAGTTAAGCATGTGGGGAATTGAGAAAAATTTCAAGAAGCAGTTTGCATACTGTCAAGCTAGCAAGCTGGTATTAGTATAAGCACTATGAAGAAACACTAGCATTTTATTGAATGGATACCAATAAGGTATGGCTCCAATACAAAATCAATATGCCACACTTTCTGCAAAATTCAAATACAAAAGAGCACGTGTGTGTGTGTGTGTGTTATGCTATATTCCTATAGACTTCTGTGTCTTTGGGTTGCTCAAATAGGCCTTTGAAAGTTATCTAAGCACTGTTGATGGACTTTTGAAATTGTGTTAAGAAAACAGGTACATTTTCAACCTCACTGTATTGCATGAAAGTTTTATACAGTTGAAAATGTACTGCAGAGCATTAGTCTGTAATTAAAAATGTAAAACACTATTAAAAGGAGAAGATATTTTAAAGCTTAAGCACTTGTCTGTATATTGTTAGCATAGGTTGTGAATACCCCTCTTAAGTATGTAAAAATATCTTCATATTTAAATGAAAGTTAGAAATAAATGTCTATTGGCAGAACTCTGTCAGAGTATTTTTGTTTTTAAAAGTTTTTGTGTATATTATCTGAAAAAAAATTTTCTGTGTTGCCAGGTGACCCGACAGATGCCATGACTGCTATTGCTAAATTAGCTGCTGATCCTTACGATGAGATTAAGGGGGAAAATCAACATGTTATTGAACATCCAGGTATTCATTACATGTTGAAAAAACTTATTCTTGGTGACAAACTAAGGAAAGACCAAAACTCTGGTGAGTCCAAATACATATGAATCCTGAAACTTCATTTGAATAGAAAGTAGTCAACAATAATAACATAAGTATAACCATGAATCCATTTCATTTGAACTTGCAAAGGTCATGACATTGTACATTTTTTATACTTATTCTTATAACATATTATGAGCAGGTAGTTGACTTATTACATTCAATTTGATGGTTAATTCAGGTTTAGTAAAATAGTAAAAAAAATCTCAAGAAAAAAGGACTTAGTAATAAGTGATTGCTTATGTAATTACTTCAATAATGTTTACTCATTTTAATAAAGAGTTATAATGTGCGTGTGTGTGTGTGTGTGAAGAAGGTTTGTGTTTGCATATTTCATTTTAGTCCTTGGAAATTAATTAATATTCATACAAATTCACACCACACAATCAGTATATCAACTTCCAAGAAAAATTGTATAGCAGAATGTTCTACTTTTTAACTGTTAAAATGTTGTGCATGTATAATATACTCCACATTTGAAATGATAATCCGACAAACATTCATCATAGATGTGCACTTCATACAAATGTTTCAGCTGTTATTGTATAGCAGAATGTTCTACTTTGTAACTGTTAAAATGTTGTTCTGTATAACATACTCCACATTTGAAATGATAATCCAACAAACTTTCATTATAGATGTGCACTTCATACAATGTTTCAGCTGTTATTGTATAGCAGAATGTTCTACTTTGGATTATCATTTCAAATGTGGAGTATTTTATACAGGACAACATTTTAACAGTTACAAAGTAGAACATTCTGATATACAATAACAGCTGAAACACTTGTATGAAGTGCACTACTATAATGAAAGTTTGTTGGATTATCATTTCAAATGTGGAGTATGTTATACAGGACAACATTTTAACAGTTACAAAGTAGAACATTCTGCTATTCAATAACAGCTGAAACATTTGTATGAAGTGCACATCTATGATGAAAGTTTGTCGGATTATCATTTCCAATGTGGAGTATTTTATACAGGACAACATTTTAACAGTTACGGACAAGCTTTCATCATAGATGTGCACTTCATACAAATGTTTCAGCTGTTATTGTATAGCAGAATGTTCTACTTTGTAAATGTTAAACTGTTGTGATGTATAAAATACTCCACATTTGAAATGATAAGCTGACAAACTTTCATTATAGATGTGCGCTTCATACGAATGTTTCAGCTGTTATTGTATAGCAGAATGTTCTACTTTGTAACTGTTAAAATGTTGTGATGTATAAAATACTCCACATTTGAAATGATAAGCTGACAAACTTTCATTATAGAT